AGACATTTTCCTACGGATTTCGAACTTCAGAAGTTACTTTCGGCCTCATTTCTTCGCTAGATCCCCCCATTCTTTTAGGATTGCTCACTAAAATATTAATTTTTTCGGTTTTCAAAAAATGATTTTCAAACCGAAAATTTGTAATCGTACCCAGAGAGCATAAACACACCATATGGAAAATTTTTCAAAATCAAAATGTTTCGATATCAAAATATAAAAATTTTGGCGAATTTTCGGAAAACATTTTGAAAATATTGCCAATTTTTGGATTAAAAAAAATTGATTTCAAAATCGAAAACTTTTAATCTTAACCGGAGGGCATAAACGCCCTATGGTTTTGAAATCAGCACGACGAAATCTGTGTCAGAATTTTTTGGGTTTTCTTCGGAAAATTTTTCAAAAACAAAATCTTTCAGTATAAAAATATAGAAATTTCGAACAATTTTAGACAATTTTCAAAATTTAACTGCAGAGATTTTCTTAAGGATTTCTAACTCCTGAAGCTACTTTCGCCCTAATTTCTTCGATAGGTCCCTCCATTGTTCCAGAGTCGCTGACTAGAATATTGCAATTTTTTGGACTTCAAAAAAATTGATTTTTAAATCAAATTTTTTTTATCATTTCCATAAATAGGTTTTTGGATTTGTTTTTTTTTAGCAAATTTTTAAAAAACAAAATGTTTCAATAAGAAGCTTAACACTACGTTTTTGGGATCAGCACGACGAATTTTTGTTGTTTTCTGGGAAATTTTTCATAAATAAAATGTGTAATAACAATATAAAAGTTTCGGCCAATTTTCCACAGTTTTCGAAATTTAACTGAAGACATACTTTCGGCCTCATTTTTTCGATAACCTACCCCAATTGTTTCAAAATCGCTCACTAAAATATTTCAACTTTTTGGAATAAAAAAAGATGATTATCTAACTGAAAATTTTTAATCTTATCCTTTTAGAACTTTTTTTGGGTTTTTTGCAAATTTTTCAAAAACAAAATGTTTCAATATAAACATACAAATTTCGGCCAATTTTCGGCAAGTTTCAAAATTTAACTAGAAACATTTTCTTACGGACTTCGAACTCCAGAAGTTACATTTGGCCCTATTTTTTTTTCGATAACTCCCTCCATTATTCCAGAATCGCTTAATAAAGTATTGCAATTTTTATATTTAAAAAAAATTGATTTTCAAATCGAAAATTTTTAATCTTACCAAGAGAATATAAAACGTTTTTGGAGTCAGCACGATGATATCTTAAAGCCAGATTTTTTTTGAGTTTCTTCTGTCAAATTTTTCAAAAAAAAAATATATAAAAATTTCGGTCAATTTTCGAAACTTAACCAAAAACATTTTCTTACAAGTTACTTTCGGGATTGTTTTAATAGTTCTCTCTGTTGTTCCAAAATCGCTTACTAAAAAATATTGCAATTTTTTCGATTAAAAAAAAATTTCAAATCGAAAATTTCAAATCTTACCCGGTTATGCTTTTGGAATCACCACGACAAAATCTATAATTCAGAAGTTTTTTGGTTTTTTTAGTCAAATTTTTCAATTTTTTGGATTAAAAAAATTGGTAATCAAGCGGGAAATGTTTAATCTTATCCGGAGAGCAGAAACGCACGATGTTTTCAGAATCAGCACGATGAAATCGATAACCCAGAATTTGTTTGATTTTTTTTTGTCAAATTTTTCAAAAACAAATGTTTCAAAATGAAACTAAAAAAATTTCGGCCAATTTTACACAACTTTCAAAATTTCACTAGAGACATTTTCTTACGAATATCAAAGACCAGAAATTACTTTCTACCTCGGTCCTTCTGTAACCTTCCTGCATTGTTCCTGAATCGCTCACTAAAATATTTCAACTTTCTGGGTTAAAAAAAAGATTTTCAAACCGAGAAATTTTTCTCAGTGAACAAAATATTTCAAATTAAAAATATAAAAACTCTGCTAAATTTCGATAATTTTCGAAATTTATCTAAAAACATTTTGATAGGGATTTTGAACTCCGGAAATTACTTTGGGCCTCGTTTCTTCAATAGCTTCCCCCATTCTTTCATAATCGTTCACTGAATTATGGCAATTTTTTGGGTTTTTTGACAATTTTGACTACACGGGTTGTATCAAATAAAAGAAACACTCTGTATATCATGGTTTCCTAACAAATTCTGTGTTAAACTCCCTCAGGTATAATAATCCCAACAGGCCAGGTAAACGATTCCTACAGAAAAACAAAACAATACATTTGACTTATAAGTACATACTTAATTTTAAAAGCTTAACTTGTTCTAAATGAGACTCACTTGACTTCTCGTTATACCATTATGAGACAACAATTAACAATTACCATTACATTTTTGTTTAAAAATTTTTCAATAAGATTTCACCCGAAAGAACACACAACAAAGCCACTGGTGTATACTTGGTTGCCTAACTCAAAAAACCCACATCGTTACACAAACGTATAATAAAAAAAAATTGTATACTTATGTACAGAATAAATTTTGTAAAATAATAAACTAGTATTTGATAAGAAAAAACTGATTCTGGCAAATGAGATACCCTCTAAGAAGATAGAGGGTAGGTGGGTGGGGCTAGTATTAGATAAGATAAGACTGATTTTGGCAGATGATATATCTTCTCAGAAGATAAAGGGTGGGTGGGGCTAGTATTAGATAAGATACGACTGATTTGGCAAATCAAATAGCCTCTAAGAAAATAGAGGGCGGGTGGGCGGGTCTAGTATTTGATAAGAAAAGACTGATTTTGGCAGATGACATACCTTCTCAGAAGATAAAGGGTGGGTGGGGCTAGTATTAGATAAGATAACAAAATATAGAAATCTCGGACAACTTTCGACAAATTTCGAAGCTCATTTCGTCGACAGCTTCTTCCACTTTTCCATAATAGCTCAATAAAATATTCGAATTTTTTGGATTTTAAAAAAATTGATTTTCAAACCGAAAATTTTTAATGTTAACTGGAAAACACAAACGCGCTATGTTTAGACATTTTTCATGCTCTTTTGCATAAAAAAAAATTGAATAAGATTTCACCCGAAAGAACACACAACAAATCCTCTGGTGTATACTTGGTTGCCTAACTCAAAAAAAACCCACATCGTTAGACAAACGTATAATAAAAAAATATTGTATATTTATGTACAGAATAAATTTTGTAAAATAATTCGTACCATGAAAAAGCTACAATATCACAACACCCGCACACATCATCTGGTGCCAAATCACGGCCTCGTCTTCGCCTTACTCCTCGCCGAAATATCCTCGATCCCAAACCTCGACAAAAAACTCAAATCCTTCCTATACGAACAGCAGCAAGCTGACGGTAACTGAAAAGTATCCGGCATCGGATCGCCATTCTCCGACAAAGACATCATCCTCCTCAACATGTATTTCTGCTTACAGCTCGTTATATACCCATTTACTCTCTCTCCGATTAAATCGCACGCCGACCCCTCTCTACAAAAAAACCCATCATCAGCAAACACGCATTCTCCCGTCGCTAATTTTTACTTTCTGCAGACTTCGATCCGGATCCCCTGGACATACCCATCGCTCTCCTCCTGGTTGATTATAAACTTCCACTTGTTGTTCTTGTTTTTGCCAACCCGCGGGAACACCGTCTTCTGGACACTCGTACACACGAACGACTCGAAGTCGCCGTTCCTGTTCGTGATGCTATACCGATCCTCCGGAGGCTCGTCCTTCCCGAAGAGGTCATTCCGGATGTGTTTCCGCTGCAGCATGTCTTTGACTTGGTTGTACGGGTAAGGATCGAAGTCCTCGCAGTAGGTTTTACCCTTAGCGCACTTGGGGGCGGTGTTAATCCGGGGGACGTTCTCAAAAATCACTTGATAAGCGTCGGGGAAGATGATGTCTTGGTCGCTGAAGTCGCTAAGCAAGTCCCCTAAAAACAATCTCTTCTTTGCTTTGTACGAAAAACATGAACCGAATTTTACCTCGAAAGAGGATCCTCGTCCTGGTTTTGTTGTTCCCGTCGTCTCTGGATGCATTGGAAGTGGTTAACTTCTTGATGAAAGTGGCTGCAGAGTCGTTCAAAACGCTGCCGACTTTGTTAAAAGCTTGTATGGGAACCGTCAACTGGGGTCGAGCTTTCACGAGCACAGAGAATACCTGAAAAAGTGATTTCATTATTCATGAGCTTAAATTCATATGGGTATGAATTCGTATTTTTAATAATAAATGAATAAAAGCGCGACTACTTTAAGTTTTACGTCGTAAATTTTGTTTTAGTGTTGACGGTAAAAGTATTATTTTAATAGAAGCACGAATTACTTTTTGCCGGAAATTCGTACTGTTTTCTTGAAGCGATAAATTTCGTTTGAATTTTGATGAATGTATCCGACGAAAAATTTATGACGGCGGGTCAACGTATCTAGGATATTATTTCTTTTCCTTCGGGAATGATATATTAAATACTGTCACAGGTGGCTTATATCATAGGCATAAACCCGGATTCCTCTTTTTCAGTGGACTCAATAATACGCCGTTTGATTTTAAAGCACTTCAAAATAAATGTCTAGTTGCTAGTTCTATTTCCAATTAGTTTTAAATTTATATTCATATTCCTGTCACTTCCGTTATACCAGAAAAATTGGACTGGATTTCCAATTGCATTTGTGTATATTTTCAAATAGCAAACCAATAAAAATGGTAAAAACTGCATCTAAATTATAAAATCAGATCTGTCTGGAATTATTCGTTTTATGACGGTGAACCAAATGCAGAGGATGTCACAAATCGTAAAAAGGATAACCGTAAAATCGGTCTATTTTGTGTGAATTTTTTATGGAAGCCAGTGTCTAGCTAATTTTGTAACAGTTTTTTAGTGAGGGAAAAAGGTGTTACTAGGGGAAGGTAGCCAAAAAATTTCAACTTTTCCCCACATTTACATAAATGAACCACAAAGGATATAGACAAATAATCAAAGATGTTGAAAAAAAAAATTACTAAAGATTACAGATATCGACATCTAGAAAGTATAGTTTTTCAGACTACCACTGGACAGGGAAGATCATAAAAATTAAGCAACAGTGAAAACCGCAATTATGTCTTAAGAAAGGCGGTAGGTCCCAAGACCCTACCATAAATAAAATCTCCGTTGCTATTGTGTTGCATTCGGGGCTTCGCCAGGTCCGTATTCACCAAGTTTTAGTGAACTAATGATAAAAACATTTAAACTGGTTTGATAATTTTAGCGTTAATTATAACTGTAATTACATTATAATGTACGAGTATAAAAGAATAAAACATTTATTTACAACTTTATACTGAGGTATTTAGCTAAGTAGAAATGTAGAAAACGTAATTATGGGTCCTGTCCTGAGTGTCGTTTCTCGAATTTTTTAGGTAAATCGCCCAGCGACCGGCTAAAAGACGTAGTGTCATAATTTTCGGTACGTTGTAATCCGATTAGGGTTGTCTTTCTTGCTTAATTAATATAGTTTGCAAAAACTATAATTTCGGCTTCATTTTTTCGATGACTCCTACCATATTTGCCGAATCGCCCATTGAAATATTGGAGTTTTTTGATTTTGAAAAATTTTCGACTTTTCGATTTCTCAGTATGTATTTCAATGTTTGGAATGTTTTATCTTTTAGAATTTTCAATTTTTCGAAATTTTAATTTTTTGATTTTTTAAATTCTAGATTTTTCGATGTTTTGTTGTTTCAACTTTTGATTTTCCCATTGCTCGATTGCTCCACTTTTTTATGTTTCCGTTTCTCGATTTGTCGATTTCTCGAATTTTTGATTTCTCAGTTTCTCAATTCTTAAATTTTGCGATTTTTCAGGTTTTTGATTGTTCAATTTTGTAAATTTTCACTTTTTGATTTTTCAGTCCTCCGAAATTTTTATATTTTTCAATTTTTTGAAATTTTAAGTTTCAATTTTTTTATTTTTTGATATTTCGACTTTTCCATCTGTCGATTTTCCGACTTTCCGGTTTCAGATTTTTCAGTTTATCAATTTTTAGATTTTCAAAATTTTCAATGGTTCAGTTTTGGGACTTTTCTATTTTTCAGTTTTTTGATGTTTCGATTTCTCGTTCTTTCGATGTTTCGACTTCTGAGTTTTAGATTTTTCGGTTTTTCAATTTTTCGTTATTTAAAATTTTTTATTTTTCAATTTTTCTAGTTTTTGATTTCTTGATTTATCGAGATTTCGATTTTTCGAGTATTTGATTGTAAAATTTCACGATTTTTCAATTTTTGAGTTTTTGATTTTCCAATTAATCTATTTTTGAGTTTTAGATTTTCCCATTTATGGATTTCTCGACTTTCGGCGTTTAGTTTTTTAGATTTTTGATTATTCGATATTTCGACTTTTCGTTTTCTCGATTTTTAAATTTTTTGATGATTCAATTTTAAGATTTTTGAATGTTTCTATTTTTCGATTTATGAATTTTTCCATATTTCAGTTTCCTGATTTTTCAATTTTTAGATTTTTTTAATGTCAGATTTTTTGATACTTCGATTTTCCAATTCTTCAATTTCTCGATATTTTAATTTTTTGTTTCGTTGACTTTCCAATTTTTGAGTTCTTTGACGTTTTGATTTTAAATTTTCAGTTTTTCAATCTTTCCGTTTATAAAATTTTCGATTTTTCAGTTTTTAGATTTTTCCATTTTTCAAATTTTCGATTAGATTTCTCTTTTCAATTTTTTGATTTTCCCGTTTCTGGATTTTTTGGTTTTACAATTATTTAATTTTTCCATTTTTTTAATGTTCGATTTTTTGACTTTTCGATTTCTCCATTTTTCAGTTTTCGAATTTTCGATGTTTCAATTTGAGATTTTTCAATTTATCGATTTATGAGTTTTTCGATATTTCAGTTTTGGGACTTTCCAATTCTTCGTTATTTAAATTTTAAATTCTTCGATTTTTTAAATTTCAGATTTTTTAGTTTTCTGATGTTCCGATTTCTCATTCATTCGGTCTTTCCACATTAGAGTTATAGATTTTTCGGTTTTTCAATTTTTCGTTTTTTAAAACTTGATTTTTAGGTTTTTAAATTTTTTGATTCTTCAGTTTATCATTTTTCCCCGTTCTTGGATTTCTCAATTTATTGAGTTTTCGACGTTTCGATTATCTGCTTTTTCAATTTTTCGATTTCTCAATTTTTTCATGTTTGGATTTTTCGATGTTAGAATTTTTCAATTTTTCGATTTTTCTATTTCCCGTTTTTTTTTTTAATTTTCGATTTCTCGATTTTTTTATATTTCAGTTTTTTAATTTTCCAGTATTTATGATTCTTTAATTTTTTGACTGTTCAATTTTTGATTCTTCAATTTTTATATTTTTCAACTGTTTAATTTTTTGCGTTTCTAAATTTTAGACTTTTCCATTTTTTCATTAATCGATTTTTGATTTTTAGATTTTTCCATTCAGCAATTTGTAGACTTTTCGATGTTTTTCAGTTTTATAGATTTTCAGATTTTCGATTTTTCAATATTTGGACTTTTGGAATTCTCGATTTTTCGGTTTTTTCACGTTTCAGTTTTGGGATTTTTCGATGTTTCTATTTTTCGATTTATGAATTTTTCGATATTTCGATTTTGTAATTTTTCAATTTTTCGATTTTTTAATATGCCAGATATTTTAATGCTTCGATTTCCCAATCTTGAATTTTTCGATTCCTGGACTTACTAATTTTTTACTTCTTCGATTTTTCTAATTTTTAGTTTTTTTGAATTTTTAAATTTTAATTTTTTCAATTTTTCGATTTTTCGGGTTTTCGACTTTTCGGTTTTAGATTTTTCAATTTTTCGATTTCTTTAGCTTTTCATGTTTCGAATTTTCGATCTTTCAATTTTTCTATTTTTTGATGTTTCGATGTTTCAATTTTTCGATTTTAAAATTTTTGATTTTTCAATTCTTCAATTACTCGACTTTTCAAATTTTCGATTTCACGACGTTTTCATATTTCAGGTTTTCAATTTTCCAGTATTTACGATTTACGATTATTTACTTTTTGAACTCTTCAATTTTTAATTCTGCAATTTTAAATTTTTCAAGTTTTTAATTTTTTGTGTCCATAAATTTTCGATTTTTCGATTTCTCGATTTTTGATTTGTAATTTTTCCCATTTCTAGATTTCTATACTTTTCGATGTTTTTTAGTTTTTTTGATTTTCGATTTTTAGATATTTTGACTTTTGGATTTCTGAATTTTTCAATCTTTCGATTTTTAAATTTTTTTGAATGTTTCAATTTTGGGATTTTTCATTGTTTCTATTTTTCGATTTATGAATTTTTCGGTATTTCAGTTACGTGGTTTTTGAATTTTTCGATTTTTTAATTTCAGATTTTGTAATGCTTCGATTTCCCAATTTTTCGCTACTTTAATTTTTCGTTTCCGCGACATTTCACTTTTTCAGTTCATTGATTTATAATTTTCAAAGTTTTAAATTTTAGATTTTTCAATTTTTGATGATTCGATTTCTTGATTTTTCGATTTTTAAAATTCTAGATTTTACAGTTTTAATTTTTCGACCTTTTGATGTTCCCAGTTCTCGATTTCTCAACTCTTCGATGTTTCAACTCCTCGACTTCTCAATTTTTGCATTTTAAAGTTTTTCAATCCTTGAATTTTTCGATTTTTTGAATTTTCGGTTTTTTGACTTTTGAATTTCTCGATTTTTCACTTTGTGGATTTTTTGACTTCTCGGTTTTGGGTTTTTCAATATTTCAATTTTTCAATTTTTTAATTTTTAAAATTTTAGATTTTTCAATTTCTAGATTTTTCGATTTTTCAATTTTTCAATTTGTGGCTACGATTTCTTTGTTTAATCTGTTTTCGATTTTTTGATTTTCCCAAATATTTCTCAACTCATCGATGTTTCAACTTCTTGATTTCCCAATTTTTGGATTCTTAGGTTTTTCAATTCTTTAATTCTTAGATTTTTTGACTTTTCGATTTCTCGATTTTTCAGTTTTTCGATGTTTCAGTTTGAGATTTTTCAATTTTTCTTCGATTTTCAATTTATCGATTTATCAGTTGTTCGTTATTTCAATTTTGGGACTTCAATTTTTTGGTTGTTTAACTTCAAAATGTTTCGATTTTAGATTTTTTAGTGATTCTATTTCTCGATTTTTCAGTTTTAGATTCTTCAGTTTTTTAATTTTTCTACATTTTAATTTTTTGTTATCCACTTTTCAACTTTTTAGTTCTTCAATTTTTTGATGTTTCATTTCGAGATTTTAAATTTTTCGATTTCTGGATCTTTTCATATTTCGATTTCTCGATGTTTGAATTTTTCGATTTTTCGATTTTTCCATTTTTCAGTTTTTCGATTTCTTTGTTTTCCGAGTTTTCAATTTTTCGAATCTTCAATCACTGGACTTTTAAAAGTTTCGATTTCACAATTTTTTTATATTTCAATTTTTTAAGTTTACCTATGATTATTTACGATTTTTTAAGTTTTCGAGTATACAATTTTTGATTCTTCAATTTATTTTTAATTTTTCAACTTTTTAATTTTTTGCGTTTCTAAACTTTCGATTTTTTGATTTTGCAATTTTTTAATTTGTCGCTACGATTTCTTTGTTTAATCTCTTTCGATTTTTTTATTTTCCCATTTCTCGATTTCTCAACTCTTCGATATTTCAACTCCTCGATTTCCCAATTTTTGAATTTTTAAGTTTTTCAATTCTGTAATGTTTCGATTTTTTAAATTTTCAACTTTTTAACTTTTCGATTTCTCAATTTTTCAGTTTTTCAATTTTTCTTCGATTTTCAATTTTTCGATTTATCGATTTATCAGTTTTTCGATATTTCAATTTTGGGACTTTAATTTTTCACTTATTTAAATTCTAAATTTTAAAATTTTCGGATTTTTAATGCTTGGATTTTTCGCTTTTTCAATTTTTTGATTCTCCAGTTTTTCAATTATTCAATTTTTTTAATTTTAGATTTTTCAGTTTTCTGATGTTTCGATTACTCGTTCTTTCGACTTTTGAGTTTAAGATTTTTTGGGTTTTCAATTTTTCGTTTTTAAACTTTTGATTTTCGATTATTCGATAGTTTAAATTCTTGATGTTTCGATTTTCAATTTTAAAATTTTCCCATTTTTAGTGCTTCGATTTCTCGATTTTTCAGTTTTTTGATTCATCAGTTTTTTAATTTTTTAAATTTTTAAATTTTAGATTTTTCAGTTTTCTGATGTTTTGATCACTCGTTCCTTCGACTTTT